CTGAGGATTGTTTCTTCTTCACAGTGTGATCGAGACCCAAGAGCTTCGAGCTGAGGAAGCACAAGAGGCCCACGTGAGGGGCAGCCAGCTGTGCAGGGGACTTAAGGTCTCCAGCAGGGGCTCAGAGTTGCAGAATACCTCAAGGTAAGGAAGACAGGGGACGGGCAGGGTTTGCAGCTTTAGATGGAGGATCCCTGCAACTCAACTTGAAACAAGCTAGAAGGTGCGCACATCAACTTCGCAGGAGCCTCCTGGTCTCCTGCGAAGTTCTCAAACTATCAAGCATCACAATGACTTCCAGAATGTCTTAAAATGCAGATCCCAGGGCCTACTCTCCCAGCTTTTGGTTCAGATGGCATGGCTTAGGGTGCTATATGAATTTCCTAGGGTGGTCACAATGAAGTCCCACTAATGGGTGGCTTAAAACAATAGAAATGTGGGGACCAGGTGGTGTGCAGCGGTGTGCAGGCCACACGGAAATGTGGCTGGCTCCCATGCAGTGATCTCCCCAGTGTGGCGGCACACTTGTGCCCACGATCTGGGCTGCCCCACACTGGGGTGGACTGCAGCACCGGGACCCTGTCAGGGGTGCTGCATCTCTGTCTGCCTGTATGTCTCTATTGGTCTCTCTCATTCATGGAATAAATGTACAAACTAAAAAGAAAAAGAAAAAAAAACAATAGCAGCAAAAAACAAAAAACAGAAAACACCAAACATTTATTCTTTTACAATTCTAGAGATAAGAAGTTCAAAATTGAGGTGTCGGCAGGCTGAGTTCTTTTTTAGGTCTCAGGGAGAGTCTGTCCCGAGCCTCTCTCCTGGCTTCTGGTGTTTGCTGGCAGTTCCTGGCATTCCTTGGCTTATAGATACACCACTGCAGTCTCCACCTGTGCCCTCACGGGCCTTCCCCCATGGCTGCCTCCTCTCTTACTAGGATACCAGTCACAGGGCAGGGCCCACCCGACTCCAGCATGACCTCCTCTTAACTCATCATATTGGCAACAACCCTGTTCCCCAATGAGGTCACATTCTGAGGAACCAGGGGTTAGAACTTCAACATATCTTTTTGGGGGACACAATGCAACCCACAACAGCCACAGCAACTCTACATATTAACAAGTCCCTGGGTGATTCTGACATGGCCTGGGACCACGGCCCTTGGTCCGATTCATCTTCGCAGCCTGAGGCCACTGCACAGTGGGCAGGGCCAGTCTGTTGCAGGCTGATGGCCAGGTCTGTGGAGAATGAAAGGAGACAGCATTTGCTGGAATGTGGTTCCAGAGAAGCAGGATGATGCGCCTGGCTCAGGGCTCAGCTTCTCATCAGTCCTCCCACTCAACACATGCTGACCTTGGGAGGAAGGTATTCCATCTAATTTTCCAACTACTCAAATGCCAACACAGCAGGTGCCTCAAACATGGAACTGCAGAAAGTGGAGAATAAACAAGGCCTATTTTTTCTTGGCTTAAAGAGAAAACTCTTGCTTTGGGGCAGATTCTGCACCATGAATCATCATCTTGTGGGAAGTTTTACATCTGAGAAACTTGGCGGGGAGTGCCGGGGAGTGGATGGAATGGGAGTGGATGGAATGTGGTCCCCTTCACCTTCGAGGGAGTAGGGCTAGGCCTGTCATAGTAGAGTCAATGTGATGTTCAGACAGCATCTTGGGGGGACATGGCCAAGACCACCCTGATCCCTTTACATGGGAGGTGAGGAGAGAGGCCTACACACCTGCTCTGGCAGGTTACCTATGAGCCTTCAGGGCCACTGAGGTGCCACTGTGGTGAGCTGAGAGGCGGGGGCCAGGAGCAGGACCAAGTTCAGACCCCAAGCTGACAGCTCCCGGCATGGCCGTTTCCTCCATGCCCTGTGTGTTTCCATACACGGTTGCCTTGAACCCCCCTTCTGGAGAATGACTTTGCTCTCTTCCCGTATTTTGCCAGCTCCTGGAAACTATTCCAGCCTCACTTCAAACCCATGATTACAAATCTCAGAAGGGTCCTCAGCATGGCTGGGTGATCATACTCCATTTCCCTCCCCAGTTTACATTACCACACAAGAAAGACGATGCCACACGGGTTGAAGCTACAGCATAGTCAGGCTTTTGCATAAAGCAGCCAGACACAGCCCCCTGAATGGTATAAGAAGGGATAGCTCATTTTCATTTTCTTTTACAAGGAAACAGTTTGAAATCTAATTTGAAGCATCTTCTGGCATGCAGCAAAAAGAGAGATGTGGTTGCCGTCTGCTTGGTTGGGTTCCCCGCAGCTCATCTTGGCCAGCCAGGCACTCTCGGGTGCTTGGCCCATGCTGAATGACGGAAGGATCCCAGGCAAGGCTGTTGGAGCCCATAACCATGGGCGGCCTTTGAGAAGATGCTCTGGTCTGGGTGTCTAAGGCTGAGGGAGGTGCCATGGGCCTCAGAGCTGGCAGGACTACAGGGACATTATGAGGAGCTTAGAAGTCAGCCACGACTCAAATACCTCCTGCCCAAAATGAGGGGCTGTGGTTGCAGAGGCTCTTTTTATTCTTCAAGCCAAAGCAGAGGGACAAAAAGATGGCTCCCCAGCAGTTAAAGATTGTTGCCCAAGCCTGGCACGTGAGTCTGGCTAACAGGACCACCGCTGTCTCTCAGCACTGCAGCTACCCAGATAAATGGCAGCCTGAGGTCTCCTTTACCTCCCTGGTCCCTCACTGAGAATAGGGCCCTGCCCTGCCCACTGGCCCATGGCTGGCCCCCAAACCACCATGCCTACCTGGGTCCCTCATCTCCTACTTCTCTCCACTTCCTTTCATGCTGTGGTAATTCAGACTTCTTAACCAGTCGCAGGTCCTCACATCTGTCATGTTGTCTCTTTTCTCTGCTCATTGTCCCCAATCCTAGAATGCCACTTCTTTCCCCACTGGCCCCCATGTGCCTCAGGACTCAGTGGGCACAGTGCCTCTGGAAGCTTCTCTGCTCACCCAGGCTGAGCCAGATCACTGCAGCAAGACCCACTGCCTGGTTTCCCCTCAACAGATCATGTCCCTTGTGCTGCTGCCATCTGGTGTGAGCCAAAACAGTAGAGGATCAGTGACCGTGGGCGTGTCACCCTGATATGTACCCACTTGACCATTTCCGGATGGCAGGAAGCATCTCTGATTTGTCTCTGCCAACTCAAGGCCTGGCTCAGTGGAGGTCAGATGGAATTGCCCCCTGCCTGAGCCCCCACTCAGATAAATCAGTCCATAATATCTATGGACCCTAATTAAAGTCTGTGGTAACCATGCCTGAGTCCTCCATTTCCTTTGCTGACCGGCCCCTTTAAGAGCAGTCCCAAAGCCAGAGCAGACCCCAGACTGTGTGGTTCCATCCCCCCCCAGCCGTGAAATGGGCTCCTGCACACCCCGTCTCCGACCCGAGTAAGCCATAATGGCAGCGATCATTCCCACTTGTTGAGTGCCCCTCCCCTGCAAGGCACCGTGTCAAGCCACGTTTAGTCCCTACCACCTCATGTTGGGAGGAAGCAGCCTCCATGTGGCTCAGGCTGACAAGGAGGTCCAGACAGGTGAAGTACCTCCTCTCGGGTCACTCCTGCAGAGGCAGAGCAGGACCCGGCCCAGGGCCATTTCCCTCAGGGTTCTTGCCCTTAGCCATCGTGAACACTCCATCCCTGTGTGCCAGCCTGGGGAGGCTGTGGCTCTCTCCTTATCCTGGAATCACCCTGAGGCCTCTAGAGGTGGAGCCAGCACCTTGCTCCAGCCACAGGGCAGAGGCCGATTTGAACACTGGTCTGTCTAAACCCGAGTCCAGGAGTGCCATTCCCTCCAGGTCTCTGCACCTCTCTCTGCTGACACCTTCCCATCCATCATCAAGACCGGCTTCATTTGGGGGCCAGAGACGGCGATTCTCCACAGAGACCTTGGCTCATTTTGGACAGGCTCTGCCCAGTGGGTGCTGTGGAGGACTTACTTCTCTCTGTTGAAGATGATGAATTCCTTCCTCACGGTTTCCAAACACTGCTGCAGGTGTCCGTTCTGTCAAAGAGTACAAGAGGGTGACTAAATGACGGAGTATTATCCAGGCAGACATGGAAAAAGACGTGGAAGGCAACAGACTGATCTAAGGAGACTCTAGGAACCTTGGAGCTAGGGGATGAGCTCAGTGGCCTGGGGGGAGGGGGGGTTCCTGACTGGGCAGTTGTGTCCAAGGGGAGTCTGGCAGACAAAGATGTTTTTCTCAATTTTAAACCAATAAATCTGATTTGGAAGTCACATATGAATGGTCTATGGATGGAAATTCACAAGCTTGGTTTCCTGCCTGTTTGAATGTTCAGCGGGCCTCCTAAGGAGGCAAGGAAGACAGGAAATTGACAGCCATGGGCCAGCAGGTGGCATAGTGGTTATGGCGCTGGACTCCCACATGGCTGATCATGTCCCAGACCCGGTGGCTTGAAACTCTCACTGAGTGTGCGTGCATGTGTGCCCAAAATTTCAAGGAGAATGGAGGAGAAGGGACTGTAATGTGGCCATCATTCCCAGGGGGTAAGTTCTCTTTTTCTCTCCATCTCTCTGTCTGTCTGACAAGTGCATGTGTACTATACCAAAAATCTCTCAGAATAAAGAGGAAAAGAGAAGTTGACAGTCATCGCACAAGGTGCTCATTATCTCTGGGAACAGACCCGCAAACCACCAGGACTGCAGATGTTCTAAGGCCGTCATCTTAGAGACTGCCTGAAAGCAACATGCAGTGGCACGCCCGTGCAGGAAGCACGGTTCCTCTTGCTCCCTCAGGCCGACTGCCAGAGCTGGCTCAGGACCCTGGGCCTGTGTGACTTCAGGAGCTATGAAGATGTGTAGTGTTTTCTTTTTGTTTGTTTGTTTGCTTTGCTATAGGGTGTGTGCACTTGCCAAAAAGCTGAAGAAAGAGAGACAGAAAGAGAAAACACCTCCCATCTCCTCAGGGGGCATACCATAATCCCTTTTCCTCCAGTCTCCTTTTAGGGTTTTGGGCATGCATGCACATGTGCCCAGTGTGGTTTTCTAAAGAATTATTTTATTCATTGTCATTATTTTATTACTATTTTTTGAAAGTTGACCAGAGAGAGACAGAGAGAAGGAAAGTGAAAAAGCAAGCTGCCAGGTTCGAGACTAGAACTGTGGTCAGCTATGTGGGAGTCCAGCAGCCTTCACCACACGCCACCTGCTGGCCCCTCCAAGTGTGATTTTTAAGCCATCGGGTCCGAGATTCAAACAGCGATCGACTATGTGGGAGTCCAGCACCTGAACCATCACACCACCTGGCTGGCCCAAATGTTTAGTTTCTTTTAAAATGAGTAGAAAGAGATGAACAGTAAGCGTCAAAGGTTATATTCATTCTCATACCAATGTGGTTGTAAAATAGAATCTCAAATAAATTTTTATAGAGGAATGGGCTGCTGGGAGTTGAATTGTGTCTCCCCAAAATAAGTTCAAGTCTTAAAGTCTGGCACCAGACTTTAAGACTTGAAAATAGAATCTTTGTGGACGTAATCACGCCCGTGTGGGGTCAGAGTGGATTAGAGTGAGCCCTAAGTCCAGTGATCAACATGTCCTCATTTAAATACACATGAATACACAGAGAGACGGGGGAAGATAGTCACATGAAGATGAAGGGGGAGCGGATGGGAGTGAGGCACTGCAAGCCAAGGATGGTGAAGGCTGCTGGCAGCCACCAGAAGCTGGAAGAGCCAAGAAGAGCCCCTTCCTTACAGCCTTCGGAGCGAGCATGACTCTGATAATACCTCAAGTTTAGACTTCTGGCTCTCAGAATTCTAAGAGAACACATTTCGGTTGTTTTAAGCTACCCGTATGTTGCTTTGTCATGGCAGCCTAGGAAACTGATAAAGAGGCTGTGAAGGCCAAAATGCCCAGAGCCCATGGAAGTCGTAACGCAGCTGGGGCCTCTGCAATGGGTCTGCTGTACAGCCCCAATGTCACACAGCATGGTTTCTGCCAGGCTGAGGGTTGCACAAGGTCCTGCCTGAGGGACAGGGCTAGTAGGAAGGGCAGGAGTGTGAATGCTTTGGTCTACAGCAATCCCGCCACAGCTGTGTACTGTGAAAGGCACACATTTGACGGTGGCCTTTTATTTACTGCAATGGGGAGAAGTGAAACACCCCCTTTGGGCTAAAACACAGCCTTGCTCAGCTATTTCCGTGTGCGTACACATGACTCCCCTCCTGTTGGAGGCTGCTCCTGAGAAATGCTCACCAGAGGACAGCTGTCCTTTGTACCATCTTTGGACCTGTTCTTGGCCAGCCTCTTCTTCTTCTTGTGAAGTGGCTTGGACTCTAGAATCATTTCTTCAAGTTCAAATGTGGGATCACAATTCAATCTCCCTTTCTGGAATAAAGTGGAAAGGAAGACATGGTTTGTCTGTGTTCCACCTATCACTGGATTTTCTTTTCACTCACTCGTTCAGTTGATCATTCATTCGGCCAATGAATAATGACTAGCGACTACCATGGGATACGCTGGTCACTTTTTTTTACCCATCATCCCAGCCCCTGGGGCAATCCACCCCTGTCAACATCCATGTATTTCCTTAGTCTCCTTCCTATGTATGCTTTTTTTTTTTTTTGAGAGGTTTTCGCTATAGGGCGCATGTGCTCGCCAGACAGACAGAGAGAAACAGAGAGGCAGAAAGCGAGAAATCACCCCCCAGGGGGGATGGTCACACCGCAATCCCTTCTCCTCCATTCTCCTCTCGGGATCTTGGGCACGCATGCACACGTGCCTGGCGTGAGTTTTAAGCCACCGGGTCCGGGACACGAACCGCGGTCGACTACATGGGAGTCCAGCGACATAGCCATTACGCTAACTGCTGGTTCCCCCATGTATGTTTTTAGGTGAGGCTGACTTCAGTTTTCCAAACTGATTTTGTCATTATTTTTTATTATATACAAATTCTCATGTCATTATCTTTCTGATAAATATCAGTTTTAATCATTTAATTTAAAATCACCATTTCTGTTAACATCTGCCAAAGGACTCACGACAAGGAGAGAAGCCGTATGCTAGGACCTAGGACATCAGGTCCAAATACCCTGAGCCTCAGTGCTGAAGTGGGGCAGCCAAGCAAGGGGCTCACTGGCCAGATGCTGGGGCCATGCTTCACACCAAGGCAGGGACTCTGCAGAGCAGCGGAATGACTTTGGACAGGACCCACACTCACATTGGGCACAAAGCCAGGCCTCAGTGCCTTCTCGAACACCGCATCCCAGTTGATGTCAGCCAAGTAGGGCGTGCTCTGAACGTCACCGAGGCTGGACAGGCGGCTCTCGGGGTCCTTGGTCAGGAGCTGTGGTCAGAAGGCAAAGGTGCTTCTTGAGCTATGCATCCCATTGAGGTTAGCGGGGACTCTAAGGAGGGAGTCTCATTCAGGACAAGGAAGGTGCCCCTGCATTCCTGTTCTGTTGATGCTGTGCTCTGTCGGGTCATTGTGGCTGGAGGCACCATCTGCACTCCTCCTTTTACAGCTGGGGAGGGGCCAAGAGGTCAGGCTGCTTTGGCGAGGCCATCTAGTGAGGAACTGTTGGGGGCAGAGACTAGATTTTCAGCATCTGTGTTCCTTTCTGGGACTAGTACTGCTTTTCACTGATGTCCATAGTTGCTTCCAGTTAAAAATAAGAATTAGCTGCTTTGTCTTTGGGCTTCCAACTTAGTAATGGAAGGTCCAAAAATGTGAAAAAATTTATACCTGGACAGTTAAGAGGCGGCCTCTGCACTCCAATGGAGTGTCCTCATTTGTAGCCAAGGGGACAAACTTCAGCTTCTCCCCAAATCAAGTTTCTGCTAATAAGGGGTGCCTTGGTATAAGGAAACCAAAGAATGTTACCTGGCCTCAAAATGGGGTTTCTAACCTTTCAAAACACCCTAGCTTATCTATTTCAAGGAATACCAGGGCTCAGACTAAAAGGACAGACTGCCACCTAACAGTGTGTGGCCTCAGGCGAGCTGCCACACCCTCTGTGTTTGTGCCCTTTACTGAAAGCAGAGAGGGTAATGACCTCTTCCACTCCAGCTCATGATCAGAATGAGACCTAAATGGGACTGGTAAGGACCTCGCACAAGCTAAGGAAGAGTGCCATACCAGCTGCTCACAGGTACAGCCAGATCAGAGACCCCCCAACCACCACCGCCAGTTCACTCCCACTGACCACTGCAGAAATCTGCTGGCCATGCCCAGTGAGTGGCTGGAGTCACACTGCTGGTGGGACACCTCGGAGGCATCGAATCTGCTGATCTAGGCAGCCTCCCTTTTGGAGTCGCCCCCAAACGGCGGGCGTTGACTTAGGCTTCATTTCAGTACCATGAGAGGGCTCATTATTTAGGTAGCCATTTCAAAAGCATGCTGCTGCCCAGACCCCTTGGCCAGAGTCTGTGACTTCGTGGGTAGGCTGGGAGGTGCAGGTGTCGACAGTGTGTAAGGCTTCCAGATGATTCCAAGAAGCAGTCAGGGTTAAGAATCACAGGTGGTGAGTTTCCTCGAAAGTAAGTTAACCAATTAGTTAACTCAACAAGTCACGTGTGGCAGTATAGGGATTAAAAGTGGAATTCAAATCCCACCTCTACCCTTTAATGGGCCTGTGACATTGAACGACTCTGCTTTCCTAAGCCTCCATTTTCCCATCTCTAGTATTGGGAGAATAACCCCCTGCTTGTGGGGCTTGTTAGATTAATGGAGGATGAGCCACTACATGGCTAAGAACACAGACCCTCAACCATTGCTGGCTGCTGTACTTACCATTCTTTAAAAAATGACTGAGTGCTAACCACATGCAAGACTTGGCTCTGTGTATCTTGGTGGATTCAAAGGAAGCCTCAAGGGAAGTCCGCACCAAGACCTCCAGTCTATGCCCTAATGGAGTGTGTATCAGACCCACCTGAGCAGCTTATTAAGACCCAGAGGGCTGGACCCCATCCCCAGGGTGTCTGACTCAGGTCGGGAGTTGAGCCTGAACACGTGCATTGCTAACAGGCTTCTGGTGATGCTGATGCAGCTGGTTCAAGGACCACACTTGGAGAATCCTTGCTTTATGCTGTTAGCACCAGATCCTGCAAAAGGTCAGGAGAGGCCCAATTTCTTAAAGTTCAGTGGGTTAAAAGCCATGCACATCAAGTATTTCAGTTTATTAGGAGCTTGGAGTGGAGTGAAAAGAGCCTGGGGCCTTTGCCGTCAGACTTCACAGTCTCCCTTGCTGAGATGTATGTATCTCACCATGATGGCGGATGTTACATGGTATTAGAGTCCAGCTGACTTTATTACTTCTACCACTGCCATGACATTCATTTTCTTATTCCTTTAGTTGCTGTATGCCAGTGTTTACACTAAGGGATGGTTGTTGCTTGGCCTAGCAGGCTGGTGGCTGCCCCGCTCCTCACCTTCTTCAGTAGGGCGACCATTCCCTTGCACCACGTGGAGGAGTAGTGGACACGCTCCACCTTGAACATGCTGAGGATCTCATCGATGGGTGTGGCTGAGTGGATTTCATATGGCCTCCGCAACCAAAGGACAAAAGCAGGAATTAGAATGCCACTGGAAAGGCACCGGTCACATGATTTAAGATTGTGCAGTTATGAGGGATGGTGCATTCCTCCACTTCGGGTGACAGTGGGTGCTCTTCTTTCATGGTAGAGTAGGTGACTTGGACCTGGGTGCCCATGGGACAGTGTAGGAACCTGGCAATGGGTGCTGCTATTATGCCCATAGCAGTTAGGACACAGCCTGTTAGTGGCAGAGACAGGATTCATACCCAGAAGCCTAACCTGAGCCTCTACTGTACTCCTAGACTGGGGATTTGATGTGCCATTCACTGGGGACCCAGTAATACCCCCAGTCACAGACTACTCACTGGGGACACCATTTCCCTGTCCTGGTCATGGGCAGGGCTGAAATGGCCAGTGTCTGGATGTGGTTGAGCTGAGGCATGAAAGGAAGCTGGGCTCCTTCCACCTGTCATTCTTGCCTGCCATCTTCCCTATGAAGTGAGGATGCATAAGCTCTGTGCTCTCCTAGTTTCCAAGCTTGGTAGAACATGAAGCCTCTTAATCGTGTTTTCACAATATTGCTGCCAATGTTTTCTTGCTTCTAAACATCTCTCATAACTCAGGAAACCTTTTTTTTTTAATGGTGATCCTGGAAATTCACCTTAGAGAACATCAGACCCAGTATGCTTTGCCCCCACCCTAAAAGAACAACTCTCAGAGCCTCTTCCCCCACCACTGTGGGTCACCTCTGTGACCCAAGATGTCATCAAATTTGCATCATGGTCAAATATCTTGGACTAGAAAAGCAATCATGTCCCTAGTTCATGTGGTATGACAAACAAACTGAGGCTTCAAGAAAGGAATGCATCACTAATCCATGTGAACTTGAATTCCTGCAATAATTGTAGCAGTATAATCATTGCTATCTCCTCCATGAAGCTGGGGATTCTTTGAAGGAGCGATGACATCACACTCATTTCTATATTTCCAGAGCCCTAAGCAGAGTCTGCCATTAAGCATGATGAAGACTATGAATCAGTCCAGCCGAATCATCAATGCTGACTGAAAACTGACCATGGGTCAGACACCATGTGGGGACCCCATGCACATAAAACAACAGCTCCAACCTCATGAAGCTTCAGTGGCCATGGGGTTTCTGCAGAAGGAAGGTGCCAACCTGAAGGGGCTGGGAGTCCTAAATTCTTAGTTGGGCTACAGTTTCCTGAAATGAAGAAGCACCTTTATCTTCACCAAATGGGGGTCCCCTTGAGAGGATGACTGCCTGCAGGGATGTGGCTGCTTCAGTTCTGATGTGTCCCCCTTTAGATCTTTCTCTGGTTGGTTGCCTCCTCTGTTATCTGTTCATTAAATGTAAAACTCTCTATTTCACCCTCTAATATGCAGAGCAAAGCCTAAATCTGTAGGCTCTCTAGAAAGACTAATGAACTTGATATGCTAACATTCTTTATTCTTTAAATATTTTTTCAGTTTTGTTTTTCATTTAATGGGAAGTGGGGTAAAATTTCTACCATGAGAGCCACCTGCTATTGCATTTGCAGGATCCTTTTCACATCACCAGTAACAGCCATCATAATTAGAAATAATAAGAGTCAACCTTAACCAAGAGGAATCCTGTTATGTGACACAAGATTCCCAGAATCTGTATGAGTTCGTGACTATTAACATGACTGTTTTACAGAAGGCAAAACAGAGGTATCACTTCCCAGAGCTGGGCACCCAGGTTAGAGGCCAGGCTCTCAAAGAGCTCGCCTGTGACCACTATGGTTATGGGCAGAATCATGCTTCACACACACCCCCCAAATTTAATTGTTGAAGTACTAACCCCCAGGACCTCTGAATTTGACTTTATTTGGTGGCAAGGTCTTTGTAGACATAATCAAATTAACATAAGGTCATTAGTGTGAACCCTAGTCCAATATGACTAGGATCCTTTAAAATGGGAAATTAAGAAGGTCACTAGGTAGCATGTGGTAAAGATGCTGGATTCCTACATGGCTGACCATGGTTCGAGTCCCAGACCCAGTGACTTGAAAAGCATGCCTAGTGCCAAGTGTGTGATCAAAATCCCAGGAGAATGGAGAAAAAGGAACTGTACTGTAGCCATCTCCCCCGGGGGTGACTTCTCACTTTCTCTCTCTGTCTCTCTCCTCTACAGCAAGTACATACAACCTATGTCAAAAACTTTACAAAGGTGAGGGAGTATTAAGTCACAAAGAAACACACACTTAGAGTGAAGTCAATGTGAAAAGACACCAGAAGAAGGCAGTTGTGTACAATCCAAGGAGGCAGGCCTGGAGCAGATCTTTCCCACACACCCTGATGAGGAGCCAACAGTGCTGACAGGTTGCTCTCAGACTTCTAACCTCAAGAATCACAAGAGAATCCATTTCTCCATGTTTACCCCAGATTGTGGTACTGAGTTACAGTCCATGGTAATGATTATGCCCACCCTCACTGTCCACATGCAGAGAGAGTTCTTATCAGAGGAGTCTGGTTTCTACTCTGTGATATGCTAGGGCCCCCGGAGTATGTAGAACGGATCTGGCCCCACAGCACGGAGTTCTCTGTACGTCACAGAAGGGGGACGAGGAGCAAAGGTGTGGAGAGTGCAGGGAAAGGAAGCTATGGTGATGCTGGCATGTAGGAAGATTGGAGGTGTTTCTCTGATCTGCAGGTTAGGGTAAACCAGAGCTTGGGACACCCAGAGCTGGGCCAGGTTTTGGACCATTCAGATAGCACTCTTGTCCTAAAAACCCAAATGCAAAGATGTTGGGAGATGACACAGTCTAACTTTCTCTTCCTTTTTAATTTAATTTAATTTAGTTTATTAATTTTTGTTTGTTTGCTGTAGGGCACATGTACCTACTAGAGAGAGAGAGAAAGAATGATAAATCACCACCCATGGGGGATGGCCATGCTGCATTTCCTTCTCCTCTATTCTCCTCTTGGGATTTTGGGTCTGCATGTATACAGCACTTTTATTTTCAAGACGCTGGGTCTGGGATTCAAACCACTGTCAGCCATGTGGGATGTAGTTGCCTTAATCTCCACATCACCTGCTGGTCGCTCTTTTTAAAAAAGATGTATTTTTGTTTTAATTTTTTAAATTGCCTGAGGACACCTGTACTTGCCAGAGAGAGAGTGAATGAGAGGGTGCACTCCCCTCAGTGGAGTGTGGCCACGCCACAATCCTTCTTCCTCCATTGCTCTATCCCGTCAGGATTCTGGGCAGCCAGATACACACAACTGGCATGTTTCAAGTCTGTAGGTCAGGATTTGAACCACAGTAAGCCACGTGGGATCCAGCTCCCTGAGCCACTACATTATGAGGCTGGCCCTTCTTTTTTATTTTTTTATTTTTTATTTTTTTTGAGAAGTTTTTTTGCTATAGGGCACATGCACTTGCCAGACAGACAGAGAGACAGACAGAAAGTGACCAATCATCCCCCAGGGAGGATGACCACGCCGCAATCCCTTCTCCTCCATTCTCCTCTCGGGATCTTGGGCACACAAGAACATGCGCCCGGCGTGAGTTTCAAGCCACCAGGTCTGGGATGCGAACCGCGGTCGACTACCTGGGAGTCCAGTGACATAGCCATTACGCTAACTGCTGGTCCCAAGGCTGGCCCTTCTTTGCAAAGGTCAGGAAGCTGAGCCTTGGTGAAGAGAACAGACTTTCCCGCTGTCCCCAAAAGGCCCAGATTCTCACTTCCTGCTCTTTCTGCAGTGCTCCCAGAGATCAAAAGTCTTTCCCCCAACTGGAGAATCAGTCAAAATCAAATGCAGATACTCTTGTCATTACGTTTCATCCTCTATTTCCTTCTTGGTCACTTGGAGGCACTTGTTAATTCTGCTCTCCTGTCAGAACTCCAGATAAACTGCTCTCTATAATCTTTGCAATTCTCTCCACTTCCAGAGGGGTCCAGATTGATAATAATAACAATGGTGCTAATAATAACTATTAGGTTGTTGGAAAAGTCATGACTTCTTTCTTTCTTTGTTTTATTTATTTATTTATTTATTTATTTATTATTTTGCTACAGGGTACGTGCACTCACCAGAAAAAGAGAGATAGAGAGACAGAAAGTGAAAAATTACTCCCCAGGGGGAATGGCCACGCTGCAATTCCTTCTCCTCCATTCTTTTCTTGGGACCTTGGGCCACCTGCACACACACCCGGCATGAGTTCAAGCCACTGGGTCCAGGATTCGAACCACAGTTGACTACATGGGAGTCCAGCAATATAGCCATTACACCAACTGCTGGTCCCAACTTATTTTTCTATGCAAAAATGCATCATGACTTTTCTAATAACCCATAAAATATGCCATCAGGTCAAGGTATTAAATACATTTAGAAATAAGTTTGGAGGCCAGGCTGGTAGCACAGAGGCTAAGCACAGTGCATTAGAGCCAGATGCTACATGGCCGGCCATGGCTTTAAAACACACCAGAGCGCTGACACCTGCGCTCAAGGTCCTACTGGGACAGACCCATGGAGGGAAGGGGACTGCTATGGACCACTACTACTGGGGATGTTTCCTCTCTCTCCTCTTTTTTTTTAAAAAAGGAAAAAGAAAGAAAGAAAAGGACATAAGTAGAGACCACTGTGATGCAAGTAAACTCCACAGGTTTAGGCTCCAGGTCAGTCCTCGCCTGTTTGCGTAGTTTAGAGACACCCAAATATCAAGAGCAATATGTTGTCTGCTGATGGTAAAGAATGTTACTGAGCTTAGTTCCCACTCGCTGGCCTTAGGACGTGTTGATTCAGGAGGCCAGGTGGTATTTATAAGGTGAAGTAATTTCATGTACTGCTGGTAAAGCGATTTAGCGCAGGACATTGGATATCCTCATTATAGAGTACGGGTGTGCCTCTATTCCAGGAAACTCAGTTTACAAAAAAAAAATGCCAATTTACCAAGAAATAGAAGAAAGAGAAAGGAATTGCCACAGACCTGGTTCTTTATCTGTTAGAGCTGACTGGGGCCTTGG